AAAGAATTTCACAACAGATTTGTATAGTTATGGATACAAAAGAAGATAAAGGACACATAGGTCTTCTTGAAGAAATGTTAAAAAATGAATTAAAAGTAAGTATTTGAATACTAACTTTAAGACATTTATTTGATTGCCACAGATTGTAGTATATAGATACCTTCCTTGAGAAGACATACAGATGTGTCAAACCTAATTTTCTTATCCTTTTGACTTGATCACATCTTTTGGTATGCCAGTACTTATGACTTGAATATACTCAATCCTTTTCTACATCCCACTACTGGATTTTTGCCATATCTCTCTCCCAGAGTTTTAGTTCACCTTTAAGATTCGTAGTCACATTCAGTGTGACTTCTTTTATTAAGTCTTGTTTGATGCATGCACTCCATGCACTCCCTAGACTAAGGCTAAGACTTCATTTTAACTACAACCAACCAACTTCCCATTTATATTCATTCAGAGCTTATATTCAGGATAAGGAGAAGGAAGAAGCATGAATAATTGTGAGAGGTATAGAGGAGTCATTTACAACTCTTTTACTACAAAGAACTTTCCACTATTAATTTTAATAAAGATTTTGTGTTTTGAAATATTTTGTCTGCCCAACTGATTTTATTAAATTATAATTTCTCTGTTTTCATTAATATATGAGATCTAGTAAAAAAATATCCATTCTCTGGTTATGTTAAAATGCCTATCCATGGCCGATGACAACACTGAGTATGCACGTGAAATGATTCTGTCAGATAGACAAGTGGCAGTGGATTATGTGGCAAATCATTTGCAAAGCCATGTCTCTGCAATAATACATGACAGGCTGGGGTTTCAAGAAGTTTGTGTAAAATTGGTACCAAAAGGACTCACTGAAAAGCATAAACAGAAGTGTTTGGACATTTTATGGGCACAAATATGGATCTCTTCCAATCAGTTGGCCAGATAGTTGTCTTTCAAATTTCTTGGCATAGATGATTGAGTACCTCTAGTGCTGCATCAGTTTGTTGAAAGATTTAAATTTGTATTCCATCAATTCCCGAAGCCTTGTTCTTTGCAAATGACTTCAGTGAACCTTGAACTTCTACCTTCAATACCATTGGGTCTTGATCATATGCTATCTCTTGAAATGGTTGAACATCATCCATTTCTTTGTCAAGTGACTACTTCCATCTTCTTTTGATGGTTTTTGCATTATTCAATATTTTGCCCTTGTTGTTGTTATGTGCCATGGAGTCGGTTCCGACTCATAGTGACCCTGTACAGGGTTTCCCAGGCTGTAAATCTTTACGGTTATGCGAGCAGAAAGCCTCATCTTTCTCCCACAGAACAGTTGGTAGTTTTGAACTGCTGACCCTGAGGTTTGCAGCCTGATTCGTAACCACTATGCTACCAGAGCTCTCCTTAGGATCTTTCAGTACGACAATTTGAGGTTTGAATTTTCTCCTCCACTTCTTTCAGCTTGAGAAATGCTGAGCTGGTTCTTTCCTTTTGGTTTACCAACTGCAGGTCTTTGCACATTTTATTATATTTGACTTCTTCTTGAGCTGCCCTTTAAATTTTTCTGTTCAACTCTTTTACTTCCTTGTTTCTTCTATTTGCTTTAGCATCTGTACACTGGAGAATAAGTTTCAGGGTTGCTTCTGACATCTATTTTGACCTTTTCCTTTTTATTTGTCTTCTTATTCACCTCTTGCATTCTTCCTGTATGATGTTTTGATGTCATCCCTCGCTCTTCTAGTCTTCAGTTGTTGTTGTTGTTGTT